TGTGATGTTTCTTGTTTCCTGTAGAAAAACTCTCGCAGTGACTGTATTTGTTTGTAGTGAAGGTTAACTATGTCAATCAGGCCACATCCGCCATCTTTACGTGGGAGGGTTAATCTTTCTGTGGCAGATTTAGGATGTTGTTGTTTATGCTTAGTAAGTGTTGTTCTTGTTTTCCTTTGGAGTTGCTCGAGATCTGTGTGAGTCCAATGTATAACTGCAAAAGAGTATGTGAGTACTGGGATGACATATGTGTTTATTGCTTTAACTGTGTGTTTTGCATTTAGTTGTGTTTTGAGAATGGCATTTAACCTACTTTGGTATTCTTTAATTAATCTTTGCTTTATTTGTGTATGTTCTGTTAGTTTGGCCTGTTGGAATCCTAAATACTTGTAGAACTCGCCCTCTTCCATGAATTCAATAACGTCTCCATTTCCAAGTACAAAATCTTCTTTCTTTAGGATTCCTTTTTCTATGTGAAGTGTTTTGCATTTGTCTAAGCCAAACTCCATTTGTATGTCCTTAGTGTATGAGTGTGTAATTTGTAGGAGTCGATGAAGTTGTTTCTGTGTAGATGCATAAATGTCCATGTCCATGAGATGTGACAGTGTAAACTGTGTTGTTTTTTCATGTCTGATATTGTAGCCATAATGCATGTTGTTTAACTTGTTGGATAAGGGGTTCAGGGCTAGGCAGAACCAGAGAGGACTCAAGGAATCTCCTTGAAAAATTCCTCGCCTAATGAATATCTCATTTGTTTGTATGGAAGTGTTACTAACCCTGAGATGTAGTGTTGTTCTCCAGTGCTGCATAGTGTTTTGGAAGAATGAAATGAGTGATGGATGTATTTTGTACATGTGTAGAATATGTAGCAGCCAACTGTGTGGAACACTGTCGAATGCTTTTCTATAGTCTATATATGCCATGTGTATGTTTCTGTGTTGTTTGTGTGCTTGCCGTAGAATGACTGAATCTATGAGTAACTGTTCTTTGCATCCCCTGTGATTTCTACGGCAACCTTTTTGTTGTTCTGTAAGAATGTCGTGTTCTTCAACATGTTTGTATATTTTGTTTGTGATACAGGATGTCAATAATTTGTAGAGTGTTGGAAGACATGTAATTGGTCTGTATTGTGTGGGGTCTGTGGTTTTGTTGTTTTTAGGTTTCATGTAGGTGATGCCCTGAGTAAGAAATTTTGGCATGTCTTGTGGATTGATGATGATGTGTGTTAGATGTTTAGCTAGTTCCTGGTGCAGTGATGTAAACTTTTTGTACCAGAAATTGTGAATGTTGTCTACACCAGGTGTCTTCCAGTTGTGTGTTCTGTTAACAGCGTAGCGAATGTCGTGTATGTTTATTTCAGCACAGGGCATAGTTGGTATGTTGTGCAAGTTTCTGTTCTCCTCCTCGATCCAGCCTGCATCAGCATTGTGTGTAACAGCATTGGACCAAAGAGAAGACCAATAAGTTGTGAGTTCTTCTTCTGTTGGTGTGCCACTGTGCTGTGTATCAGTGTTTGTTTTGGTACTGATTTGTCTGTAGAAAAGTTTTTCATTGTTTGTGAATAATTTATTTTGTTGTTTTCGTAGTGTACATGTTTTGTATCGTTTGAGTCTACGTGCTTTGGCTGCGAGTTTTTGTTTTAGTGTATCGATGTATTCTGTAATGTGTGTGTTGTGATGTTCATGTTTTGTGTGTGTTTTAATTTTCTTGAAAATGTTTTTGAGTTGTTTCTTTAATTTGGGTGTTATGTTGTTTTTAGTGTATTGTGTCAGCCTGCCTAATTGCTGTCTAATGTCATTTATTTGTGTTTCTATTCTTCTCTGCCAGGCAGGCTTGTGATAGAATTGTGTTTTGTGTGTGTCTGTCTGTGAGTGTATTTTCAGTCCATGGTGTGTTACTACTGTGACTGCCCCAGCATAAACTAATGTATGAATGTCTGAGAGTGTAGAAATTGAATGAATGTAGTTTGGTAGTAAGTGAGTGTTTACATAATTTAGTGTTTTTCCTACTACCTTTGACGTGTTGATTTTCGGTATTCGTGGTCTTTGTGTGGGATCTGTACCTGTATATTTAGTGAGTGTTTCCTGAAATATAAGTGAGAGTGTATTAACTAAATCTATGTCTATGTTATCAGTGATGGATGAGGAAGTGTCTGTAGTATCATTAATGGTAGTTGTTGTATGTGTACTATTATCAATGCTTGTTGCTGGATTATCCTGACAGGTTACGTGATCTTCATTAATGTTAAATGTTTCTGTCTGTTGATGTATTTGATCAGCAACCTGTTGTTTGATAAGTTCAAGTGTTGTTTGTGGGATAAGGTTGTTGTGTATAATTGTTCTTTTTTGATCAACAACCCTTTGTTCGGTGACAGTGAGGTGAGGATATTGTTGTGTGAATCTATGGTGTAGTTGTTGTCTGTATGCTGTCATGTTTGTTTCGAGTCTTGTGATGGTGTAGTAAGTGCGGATGATAAACTCGTTCATTTCTGTTGTCCATTTCATCCGTTGGCGTGGTTTTCCAGCCTTTGTGGTCTGTGGATGCATTGCCACAGAAACACCAAGGCTAGGTTGATTCCTCACATCTGTTGAGGGCATTGCAGTAGCCATGCTTGGGCCGGCGCTGCTTTCGCCACCGGTAACCAAGGGAGACTGTGGCCTATTTTTCGAACATGAGCCTCTGCCTAACCCACGAATGCGGACCTTGTTAACCCGGGCGATGTCCGAGCTGGTATCACACTTTGATCTGGTTACTACCATAATAATTATCTCCACAGAATGTGGGTGTGGTCACTCTTAGTTTCATTTCTCCCCATAGACCTTACTGGCATGGGTGTCCCTACCAGGAGCTTGTGCTCCAGCTTGCATTGCTCTATAGTTCAGTAAATTACTGGGCTCTCCCACCACGACCAGGTGGTGACCACGGGAGAGTTATTATTATTATGTTGGGTTCTGTGAGTTATACTCGATTCACACCGGTGGCTGTGTACTATGTCAAACCAGAGTCAAGTCATAGCAACCAAAACAAAACTAAAATTAAATAAGTGTGTCAGTGTGTGTGTCTGTATTCAGGAATTTCCTAACAATGTGGCATGTATTCAATATAGTGGCCTTCTGTAGTGTGATGTATGTATTTCTACTCAATTGTAATGTTCCCAGGCTTTTGTGTAGCGTGTGTGGTATCACACCTGTACAGGAGAGAACAACAGGTACAATAAGCACCCTATCCATCCTCCACAGATGCCT